CATATGTTAACAGTCTCACAAAACGCCACCTCTTAAAACAACCATGTCAGCCTTAGAGAATGAATCACAAGCATTCAGTCTACCGAAGGTCAGTGGAGCAACCCTTAAGAGTGAGGTTAAAAGAAGGGATTCGAAGGGTCAGGAGAGATGCCCAAGTGTTACGGTTTGCACAAAGTCTGGGAATGTGAGCATAGAGTTTCACAGTCATGGTGAGACTATGTGGTGTGCTTTACTCCAGTTATGTTCAGCTATAAGCATGAATGTACAGAAGGGTTGGACGTAATCAGGGGTAGGTTCTTCCAGATCAGCTCAATAGAGTGAAAAAAAGATAGAGGGACAAAATAATTCCAGATGAGAAACGAGGGGGTTGTCAACATGAAAGGCAGGGAAAGGTCCATTTTAGTAAAGTCAAGGAATGATGGAGATTTTCAAAGGGGTGTGCAGCAAAGAAGAATGACCAGAGAATGAGAAGCAACAAATTGAGATTAAGGAAAAGCTGAAGTTATGACAAAACCTACAGTGTGTCTTTAAGAATAAGTGGCTGAGATAAAGTGAAGGGCCAGAGAGATACCTCAGTGGACTAAGCCTGCTTTGGCAAGGGCAGGGACTGGGGTCTGATCCCTGGTCTGGAAAGCCGTGTTAGCCCCACCCCCAAATTCTCTGAGCCAGAGAATGAGTCCAGGAGTGGTGGTGCATGTATGTAATCCCAGTGCTGGGGAGACTGAAAACAGGAGGATCACTACAAGTCTGAACTGCATAGTGAGACTCTGTACCAAATACGTAAATGGAAAAAAATAAAAAAGTGAATGAAACGTTTTTAAAGAACATGCTTTTATTTATTAAGAAAATCACTCAAAGGAATGAAGTAAAGGAAAATAGAAGACAGTGTATAAGATATACCTAAATTATGTACCAAATTGTGTCTTACCCAAATTTATATGTTGGAACCTTAAATACCAGTACCTCACAATGTAATTACACTTAGATATAGGGATTTTAAAGACAATTAATTTTAATTGAGATAATTGAGATGAACATTAATACGTCATATGGCTACTTGTAAGAAGAATTAAGACATACAGAAGGACATCAAGTTTGTTTCCACAGAATAACCACCATGTGAAAAAGGCCACAAAGTCAGTGGCCAGGGACACACTAAAGAGGGAGGCTGTACAGAAAACCAACCTTGCTGGTTCTTGATTTGGAATAATCTTCAGAACTGTAAGAAAATAAATTTCTGTTGTTTACGCTACTGAGTGCCCAGGTCTCTCCGTGGCAGCCCTAAAAAACTATGAGTATGTTTATTATGTGAAATGCATAGGGTTGCGGACAGTGACAGAAAATCAGGGGTCAAACTTTTGGAGAAGTTAGGGGACTGAAGCAGAGCATGTGCTAAGACAGCGAAAAGAAGGAGTCTTTGTTGACACCATGCGATATGAGTAGACTGGATATTAGGTATTTGAGAAAGGAGAATGGTCTGAAAGCAGCAAGGAGGACCTAGGAATGTCAGTTACCCACCCACCGGACCAGGAATATCAGGCTATTGACTGAAAACTATGCCTCAGAAAGTTGTCGAGTTTCAGTTAGGGAATTAAAGATGGAGGAAACCGATGGTACTGGTTATGGACTCGTGAATTTCTGAGGCAGACTGGGAGAGCTTCACCATTTGGTAGGTTGGGGAAAGCAGACAGAAAAGATCAGGGATTCTTATTGTGAAAACAGGGTAGATGGTCTAATAGTGTGGTGCCAATCAGAAGGAGGAATAAGGACAATAATGAGGTAAGGGTGTGTGTATTAGACACAGAAAACCCCTGTAGATTTTGGAGTCCAACTTTGTGTGTGTGTGTGTGTGTGTGTGTGTGTGTGTGTGTGTGTATGTGTGTGTACAATGGAGTTGAATTTCAGAGACAGGAGCCCTAGCATGAGTAGGTTTGGGTTCTTGGCCTTGAATAGAGTAGCCATTATTGCATTCAGAATGTGCTGTTGAGACTCCAGTTTGATGTCCTTGGCAACTTCTGGGAGGCAGAGCATTATCCTGAACATATTGGCTGCTTCACTCCTGACTTGGAAACGTGTCCTATTTCATGGAGTGTTGAACCAATTGTGTTTTGTTGTGACACTAATCCAGTTGGCTGGAAACCCTGCTTTGCGGGGTAATCTGTCTTTCCTCCTGGGCTTGTGATTCTGCCTTCAATGCACACTCAATTTCCATATGTATTCTGCATTTGTGCATGTATTTATTCTTTGGAAGCTATTGTGATTAATAAAGCTAGTGTTCATTAAGAAATAACACTTGTGGAAGACTTTGGCTAATGTGTGTTTCTCTCAAGGTAGGCCTGGTGTAAATAAGAATGGTGTAAGTCGTTAATTGTTTTTTATATTATACATCAGGATTTCTTAAGGGGGGGTTGTTTGTTTTTGAGGCAGGATCTTATTGTGTTGTTCATGCTGTCGGTGAACTCACTACATAGCCCACGCTGGCCTCAAACT